CTCTGTAGCTATGAGACTTGCTTTTCTCCTCTTTCAAGGCGTGCTCTCTGCATGCATTTTGATTATGTGAAGTGTGTCCTGTTTAGGAATTGTTTCTGTCGTCTTCTCTCCAGCAGGATTCTGGGCTGGCCGAAGAAGAGGCTCCTGCCTCCCCCAAGTGGGCTGCAGGTTGTGCTGGGGACAGCCTGGTTGTGCTGCCTCACTGCCGTGGGCAGCTGGGAGCATCGCCAGCAGTGGCAGGACACAGCATCTGAGGAACTTGGTTGCCGGACGCAGAAGCCATTTGTATAAGCTTGGTTTCCATCATTCTTAGCAGCAGGTTTAACACTGATTTAAATCTGTTTCTCCACCCCCCACCCTGCCCAGGAACACAATCTCACACGAGCAGACCCACACATAGTTGGCCAACTGCAAAATACACAAAATAGAGGAAAAATACCCTTTACAAAACCTTCAGTAATTGTTCTCAGGAAGGAGAGCTAGAACACGTGACAGCAATGAAAATACCTATATATATTAATGTTACTTTTAACACGTGGGAAATACCTTAAGCTGTTCAGTTGAACTCCTGATAGTCAAAGAAAGGGGATTTTACATTTAATGATGAAAGCATTGCAGTACGTAAGGGAACAGTAACAGAACAGCAGGCACTGTGAAACTTGTGGGGAGGACTGCACTCATCATTTAGAGTACACTCATTATTAAACAGAAACAACTGAATAACTAACTGTTCTGTAAATGTCTGTCATGTTGGATTATGGCTTGTCCAAGGCTCAGTCCAAACATGGAAGTTTGCAAAATGTCCCTCAGCACCGTAGCAACAAATACATTATTTCTAATTCAGGGCTCCATGCCAGGCACTCCTGCGTGTTATTAATTACTGGGAACATGCCTGCCTTCTGTTTTCATTTCCTGACATTAATGGGTATCACTTGTTGTACAATTATAAGCACAGCTACTCATTTGGACTGATTCAACACATACTCCAACAAAATGACTGACATCAGAAAAGATCTGCTTCTGATAATGCTCGGAGCACACGGGGCACACAACTTTTGTCAAGTCTGACTGACCTCACTCGTAACGTACTACAGTGCGCCCCATAGGCTCCGATGCAGGGCAGCCCCAGAGCTCTCTGCAGCAAAAGGATCGACCCTACAGGCAGTGGGTGAATGCCCAGGTCACTGGTAGCTCAGCACAGCACGGCCAGCCCTTACTGATCACTGCTGTGCACAGACACTCCATAGTTTCAAAAGCCCCAGGATCCATGAGGCACCAGTTGCTCCCCTAAAAATGAGGAGAACATGATGCGTCTTAGATCTACAACCAGAGAGATCAGCTTTACTGCTACAAATCAAACTCATTATCCAAAAATAAAAAAAAAATTCGACTTATTTCACCCTTCCTCTTTAGAACATGTTAATAGTAACACCATCTAATTCTTTGGACATTTTGTAATGTTGTTATCCTAAAAGAAAACTTCATTTGTTGTACACTGTAGATTTGATTTGATCTTAGCTTGAGTGCTCTTTAGCGATCTACCGAGACAGTTCAATCAGAGCAGTGAAATGATGGCAACCCACTAATAACGAACAAATTAATTACAGCCATTGCAAATTTCAGGGTGCAGATCAGTCTAGCTGAAGTCCAGCTAGAATTCACACAAACTCTTTGCTTGAAATCAAAGAATACTTTGCCAATGAAGATCATGATTTTTAAGTCTGCCCATTTACCTTACAGCTTCACATCGCTACTGCATTTGTTCCACAGATAGAATAAATTCTACAGAGAGAAGATGACCCTCATAGCTGCCTTTGTGACTGCATCAGAAAGCAAAGAAGCTGCCCTCTGCTACGAGAGAGCACTTAGATGTAACACAGAACCAGCCAGTTCATTTGCCCATCATTAGCTGCTATCCAGACACAGCTTTGTATTCCATCCCAAGCTGCTTTAAAGTGCTAATACACAGTCGTAATGGGTTTTGAAAATATTTCAGTAAACTGATTCAAGTACTCCGATGCTCACATGGAAAGTCCAGTCACTTGCATCCCCCTGCAGGTTCTTGGGGCAGAACTCCTGGGATACCTCAGGATACCTCAGCCTTTCTCACAGCAGCCTTCTGCACTAATAGAACTACACCTAAACCTCAGCAACTTTTCCCTACTTACTTCCTGCTCAGCCCTGCACTGCTACAACTTGCCACATGCTTTCAATAATTCCATGCAACACTTTCCCTCATCCTGATCTAGAAGAAGCAAGCATCTGTTTCCTAAGTTTTAGCCTGAAGGTTCACAGGATAGAAAACATACTTCACTAAAAACACACTGGGGGTATTTCTGGAGAAAAGTAGCTCTTCTCGCTCAAACATATGGTCTTTTCTGACACCAGGAGTGCAGTAATCTTTTTAGGTTAGGTAGCCTACTGCAACAAAAAGTATTATTTCAATATTAAAATCTTTAGATGCTATATTTGCTTACAAGTTCTCTTTAGAAGAGGCTTTTCAAGTCAACTCCATGCAGTGTGAAACCTGCATTCTGATCACAAAACCTGAAGTGCCTTAGATGAAGTAATTTCTCAGCAAACATCAGCAGCAAGAGGTTCCGAACATCCAATTGAAATACAAGAGTGCACATGCTTAATTCATTCCATTCAGCAAGTGCGTGCTTCCTTCTGAGTACCTAAGGGTCAAACTTCTTTGGTCCTTAAGTCAGTCTGACTCTCAGCAAGACTGCTAATTTTCTTGGACTCAACTCCAAACTTTATAATAGGAGAATAAGACAAAGTGGTTGGGATTGCTACAGTGGTGGCTCTTTAAAACCATCAGTGGTTTAAGGAAAGGAAAAAAAAAAGTGATCTTACATTCAGTGCCATCAGAGGAATACAGGAAAATTAGTATGGTGTGGCTCTAAACTAGAACTGTAACATGAAACAATACATTCATTACAGATGGCCAATAGTTATGCACAAAACAATGTACGATGTGAAATTTAACAAAGTGCTGTAATGTAGAACATTTATATGATTATGTGATACAGAAATATCTGTGGATCTAGATTCATCATGTGGTTCACTGAAACACGATCACATGAAAATGTTTTGCTTCACCAAATCATTAACGCTTTCTCAGAGACCTGCAAAGTCAGTCAAAGAGCAGCAAATGATGACCTCGTCCCTCCTGGGATACTACAGAACTGCTAACTTTGGGAAGGGATGGGGGAAAAGAATCCATTCTTGAATTCCAGTGCTAGATTCTCCAGTTCTCTATTTTTCTCCACAGGAAATGGTGGGCATCATCTTTGTGCCAGATGTGAAACTCAGAAGCAAAAATTTAGCCACGAAGGTACTGAAATTTACTTGAAGAGTTTCAGTAATACAACAATGACAGCACCAATATTTACCTTTGAACAACATAGGAAGGAAGAACAGATCTGGACTAACAAATCTGTAAACACAAACTGGATTGGAACTCGGTGGTCCCAGCCCCTCCACTACAGTAAGGACCTTTGCCCTGGAATCCTAGGCTTCTTTTGTTCAAAAGACACCGACCCAAACATAATTTAGGTTCAAAAAGGAAAAATGTTTTGTTGTTGCCAACAATATTAAGGCTGTCAAAGAGCCACCACATGTTATTCAGCAGCTGCAGAAACAGGTGCAGGTCTGCATATTCAGATTTTCCCTCAGATATCCCAGGTAGGCACACAAGTCATCATCATCAGAAGTGAAAATTACCATTCAATACCCAAATCCCTTTGTTACAACAGGAGATGAATCAAAGCAAAAATTTCTCTTCTGTATTGTGAAAGGCACTTATCCCAGTCTCCCTTTCACAAAAGGGTTTGCTAGGAGCTAGAAGCATGAGCACTTCACTGATTATGGTGTTCTGAGGATACAGCAAATAGTTGCAGTTTGTTTCTTTTATTTTAATACAATCAGATGTACTTGCCTTCTCTCCTTCCTCCCCGTGCTTTTTATGTTTCTAAATCTGAGCTACTTTGGTGGCAAATTTTGATGACATGACTAACCTGCTCGAATGGCGGATGTTTTGGTTTCGAGCTCAGCAGATACCATGTCCTACAAACAAACAACTTTCCTCACTTAAAAAGAACGCAGTCCACTGTATCATCCCACTTTGGGAAATGAACACTGGAGATGAAGCAATTCACTGATGAATTCAACACAGGCGAACATCTCAAAGACCCAGAACAGAGGAATTACTGAACGTCAGGGTAAAAGGTGAAGTACCACAGTATTTTTAGAAGCAGCTGTTACAGCTCCTTCCCAGCCAAGTCTCACAAAGAAGTGGATGCTAGAACTTAGTTTCATTCAAATTAAAACGATGAACCTGAGCAAAGCTGCAAGTTTGTCAAGCATTTCTCACGGGTATTTCTCTTGTGAAGAGCCCCTTGCTCTCACTGTCAGGCCGTTACAACTTCTTCTACTATCATGCACTCAAACTGGGAACTGATTGGAGTTCAACCAAGCATTTGAGGTTTGTTTCTATGTTTCTAGCTCCTATCAGTTCCAGAATCAATATGCAGTATGGTACTCGCTTGAGTCAGGACACAATGCCTGTGGGACAAGCTAAGCTGAAAGATTTGGTTAAAATAAGTCTCTCCAGTTCAGTGCTGAGCAAATGGAGACTGAGGTTCAAAATGCAGGTCTCAGGACACAGATTCTGCTGGGAAGCACACAGCTCACTAGCAAACAGGAGCATATGACAGTGGTACTCTTTGCATGTTTTCTCCCAGTGGTGTACAAGGGATGAGACACAAACTATTTAAGCATGTTTTTCTTCTCTGTGAATATTGGTCTTTAGCCTCCTCCTTCCACAAGCCACTTCACTTTCTTTTCTCACATTAGTAAAAAGAATTGCATACACTTCGCGTGTAAAAAGGTGGTTTGAAATGCTAAAAGGCTCAACGTTGCCTCCCCAAATTCTTTTGGAGAGTAAGTCAGTTCCATGATTTCAAAAAGGCAAATATGGCACAAAAGAAGGGAAATTAAGTTAAAAAAATCAATTTTATAAATATTCTTCCTTTGTACAATTTTCACAGCCCCGTCCCACCCAACATTTTTATTCACATTTCTTTTTTTTTTTTCCTTTTTAATTCCCACCCTTTTTTTAATCTTTAAATCATAAAATATATATTTAAAATCTGTTCATATTTAAAAATATTTACAGGGAAAGTTCCTTCTGTTGAGGTCATGAGGAGTCTGTACAAGGAGAGGGTGGAGGTGGGTAGAGGTGAAAATAGCTTCGTTCTGTGGCAGGAGATGGAGGGCAACTTTCTTCTGCCGACATGTACTGGCTGCGAGGTGTGGGTGGAGGGGGGTAAGGGTCTGAGTCTGAATTTAAATCTATATAGTATTTGTTGGCTTTCCATCGACTAGTAGTATAGTCACTGTCACAAACATCTGTGCTGCACGGGGTTGTGGGTGGAGCTGTCCCTCGTATAAGGTAAGGCCTGTGAGAAAGAAAAAACACATGCAATAGTTGTGATTTTTGAAAAAGGGAAACAAAGACATTGAAAAAGAACGCCTATGTCCACAGTCAAGACAGCTGTTTATTCAGCTGTTTATTCATTCTATGTTAGCCATAACTCAGTTTTTTTCTTATAGGAACCAAATGAGAAGTAGTTGAACTGTGTTAAAACTGAATGGCACAGCTACCTGCAGCTCGCAGTGCATTTTGCCAGTCTTTAACCTGGTGGTAGATCCACAGATTTGGGCAGCCAGGGAAGATCAACATGACCACTAAGTTCAGACCCTAAGAACTAACAAATATGTCAATCCATCAAAGAGCAGACAAGACTGAACTCTAGTCACAGGATGCTAAGTGACCATTACAAAGCAATATAAATATAAATACACAGCATTCTTTATTGGCAGCATTGTACTGAAAGCTGCTAAACCCTGCTGCATCAAAATAAGAAACAAAGCTAATGTTTATGGGTCACAGATAGTATAAACTCAACTTGAATGGTCATTTATTAAGAGAGGGAAAGTTTTGAGGCTTTTTTTCATTTTTTTTTAATCAAGGCAAAGGTCTAAACTAGACCTTGTTTACAGGAACATTCTGTTTAAGATGCAAAAGTAAAGGACAGAATGTATCAAACCTCTTTATCTGAGCTGTACCTGTAAGATCTTGTGGTTGAAGGAATGTTTGAAGAATAAAACATCTCTGCATTATACAGGGAGCGATCAGTAGCTGGGGATGGAGGCGGGTTCAAGATCTAGAAAGATTAAAGCCAGTACTTCAGTTTGAGTTAATTGCACAACTCTACTGATTTTGAAAATATTATTTACTACTTCAGTGAGTCACTTGACCTTATTTTCTATTCCTCTCATTGCTGCTTGAGGGGATTTATGCTTTTTTTTTTTTTTTAAGATCATATAAGTTAATTATGATACTCTATTTTGGGTTTGGATGTATTAAACAAATACGGGGCAGCAGGTGCAAAGTCAAGACATCTAGATTGCTCAGACTGCTTCTTTTTGTAGGTAATGTAAAGCTGGGTAAACACAAAGCTACCAGGAAGAAGTGACATTTGGGTCAGCAGTAACTTTAATATATCAAAGCCCTCACAACAGCTTCTGTATAAAAATCTCTAAAAAAGCATGGCACTCTTTCTGAAGGCTGATATTGCCCCTGCAGGTCCTGGCTCACATAGCACTGAACTGGAAGGGTAGAAGAAGAATTCCAAGGAGTTAGTTTAGGCCAGTACTCCAATGGGAGAGTTTGGTCAACAGAAATATCAAAACATAACAATACAGGCAGATCAGCTCCTGGGCCACTTTTGTCTTTCAAGATTTATTTAATACTTTTTTTTTTTTTAATAAATCCACCTACACTTTTTCTATTCATAGACTCATAGAATCCTTTTACTATGGCACTGATGCAACAACTGGGTACTAGCATGAAATTGTTCAGCAAGTTACAGAGATTCTGGTGAAGCATGAGACAAATTAAACAAGGAGCTCTGCTGAATTCCAATATCTGACTCATAGGCATATTTTCAAGACATACCTGTGGGTAGAAAGTGGCTTTAGTGCTGGATGAGCTACTAGAAGAGGCTCCAGTAACATGGTTTCTGTCATATAAGGGGGCACCACTGCTCCCTCCCATGAGGCTCATGGAGCTAATCATAGACTTTCCACAAGAGATGCCTGCAGTGAGACAGAGAGGAATCCAAGGTTAGGTAAACCACAATTTCATCTACTAATGCAAACCAGAAAACAAATCCAGAGCTTGGCAAATCCACGTAACTCTACTGGTTGTTGCTTTTGGAATGATCTTTTACATAAAAACTTCAGGATTACAAAGAACAACATATTTTCAATTTTATATTATGTAAAGCAAACACTTCACCCCTAGACCACCTATTGTGACTCTGCAGCTCCTCACAAGGCGTGCTCTCAGTCTGCTGAGAAAGGAATCTCCAGATCAGTTGATCCAAATTTTCCACCCAAATTGTTAACGAAGAAATTTTCCAACTAAACAAATTCAGGCATTTGTAAAAATAAGCATTATATGCTGCCCAAGAGAAACAAGCCAGAGACATCCAAAGTTTTCATTTCCATCCAATGAAATTCAATTGCAAGCACACGAACGAGAGCAAAACCAATTATTCTTATTGGAAAAAAAAAAAACCAAAAAACAAAAAACACACACCTATTTTTTAAAGTGAAAAAAAGGAAGGAAACCTGGATGACAGGAAAAGGGGAAAACAATGTTGTCTGTTTTGTTTAACCCAAAGATGCACTTAAATCAGACTACATATTCTCAGATTCCTTCTGTCAAAATATTCAGTGCCAGTGGAAGAGTTTAGGTTAGAAGCTTTCAGAAATTTTTCAGCTTTGGAATATATTTAGGAAAGCAGGATGATTCTATTTGTGTTCATGACCACTCACTTTTCTGAAGCACCTTGCTTCAACCTATGTCTTCTCTTTAGAATTAACATCAATGGTAAGACTGTCAGCTGCTGTAAGTTGTCACAGCAATACAAAGCCGTGAGAATCTATGGTAGCTGGATTAGAAAAAAATAACAATGAACAGGAATCAGACTGACAGCTTAGTTTAGCACCTACAGTGGTACAAATGAAAGTCTCCAATAGTCCCTTTAATTATAAAAGCTTTAATATGAAGACTAGTTTAAAAAACCACTGCAATGATTTCACCTGCAACGATTTCATCCTCAAATTTTATTTCCTACCACAAAGCCCTGATAACCATAAAAGCAGATTGTAAGCAGGAACAGCTGACCACAGCCATTAAAATGCAAGAAAGCATAAACCTAAGTTGTATCTGGCTGTCTTAAGACCCCAGCTGGATGAAAGCAACAGCACATCTCAAAATGCTGTCTATACAAAGAAGGATAACATCTGTCTTTTTCAATGTGCTTGAATTTCAGCTGACAGGAAAAGCAGATTCCAAGTGCTCTGAAATATGGATTGTTGTGTTCTGGCTCTGGTGGGTAGGCTTACAGGTCACCATTTACTTTCCATATTCCCGAACAATACAAAGAAATATTCTCTCTTCTCAAGGCCTTGTAGTTAGAAATGAACTATCTCCTCTATGAAAAATATCTCCTACAATTGTAAATTTAAAATATATCACATAAGCGTTTACTTTGATGTCTATGTGAGGTCTCTGAGCTGTTAGCTCTTACGTGAATATCCCAAGCTTTTACATATATTTTAAGACCTCTACCTCAGCCTCAACTTATTATCTGCATATAGTTCTCTGGGTGGATGTTTTGATTACTTGGCAAGGTAGAGAAATTCTGCTGCTTTAGAGATGAAGAACTGAGACAGAGGGAGAACAAATACGTTGTTCAAAAGCACACAGGAAATCTGTCTCAGAGATGGATTAAACCAAAGGAGATGTTTTCGTTACACTTCAGGCAACAGTCAGCTCTTAATAACCTGCAAAACCTCAAATCCAGACAATGTAATGGTACTTATTTGGGTTCTTATCATCCTTACCAGTAAAAGTGCCATGCTGAGAACTTCCTGGAGCAATAAAATTAAGGGGGACATGAGGTGTGCCACTGACATACTCATGTGGAAAGGGGCTGTTGGGCCCGGCGTAGCGCTGACACACCACTCGCTGGCAAACAAAGTACATTCCTCCCATGACAAAAAGGGAAAGTATTATTCCAATGACGGGACCGATGGCACTGCTGTGGGGCTGAGGTTCATCTGAGGATGGCTTTGATTTTTCTGGAAAAGGGAAGGAAAAAGAAGGACGTCATTAAATACGGCAATATATATGATGCTGTCCTGGAGCTTGTAGTACATCAGTCATTTACATCGTGTCTTTGAAAGTCACTGCATCTTACTCAGACGTGTCTAACTACATAGATTCTGATTCTATGCATAAGACTTCACATGCTCTCTTTCCTTACATGCAAATAAAGCAGTAACAGCTTCTTTCTGTCTAGCAATTCACCTTGTAAGAAGATTACTTATTGTCTTGATATAACAACGGCCAGCAGAATTTTGTTTTTAAGATTTGACTGGTAGGCAAGCTACAGTACGCATGGAGCAGTGGATGTCTTCCCAGCAAAAAGCTCTTAAAAGGATGGAAAAGCTCTTTTAGGATGGAAAAGTGTTCTAAGTGACTATTAAGAACTTTACAGATTGGAATAAAAACACACAACCAGAATATCTCAAACACTTCCTACTTCTTATTTCTTTTTCCCCCATAAAGCCCAGTGTTAAATAATAAAAACTGCTGCAGTACTTGAGATGAGATTTGATACAGATCATAGCTCCCACTGAACTACATTCTAAATTCTTGCCCCTCAGTTGAAGGAAATGCAGAACTCTAAGTTGAGAAGGAAGATAACGGAAATGTAATACTAGTGAACTCTTAGTAGCTCAACATCAAGAATTCATTTCTGTCTTTCTTATTAGCGCACAACATCTTACAGGTCAGCCAAGGACCTAACCTTTAAATAGGCAGATTAACTCAGATATGATACCAGAAATAAGGCCAAACCAGAACTAAAAGATATTCTTGAATTAGCTAGTTTAAACCACAGAATTCTCATTTTGGTTAAACCTAGCTTCTTTTGAATGCAAGATCTTCATCCTGAAAGTAGCAATCATTCTTATTTCCTACTAGACTTTCCCTCAGCCAAACAAGAAACCACAGAATGCTCTGCTACACAGAGAAACTCCAGAAGAGGCAGTCTTATGTCTACATAAAGACCCATTTAAACCAGTTAAGACCTAATTGCAGGACTGGACCCAAAGTGCAAACAGGAAACAGTTGCATTAACTTGGCACCACAAAAGTTTGTCAAGTGCACAAAGAAAATAACAAAAATAAAAATGAAAGAAAAAGTGGCTTCACAGTATCCAAGGAACTGGGGGGACCAAGTGAGGGCTGTGAGTTAAACGGGATATGTGGGAGGATCAGAAGAAGCATGTGCAATCTGAGCTCTCCAAAAGGAGAGCTGAACAGATACTCTGATTCTTTTAGCCTTTTCTCTTTTTGCCACCCTGGCTATTTTCAGCACTCTTGCTCATGAAATTCACTTTTCCTTGCAGCACCCACTCAGAGGATGGAAGGAAGAAACTAATTTGACCTAGTTAGTACAGGGCCAAGATTCATCAGGCTTCCCTGAAAGAATATTACTATGGAGAGACTGGGGCTTTGCATTTAGTTGTAAGGTGTTAGAGCTGAACACAGAGCAGTTAATCTCAAGCAAAGACATCTCACCACACATGAGCTCATCTGAGCCGTCAATGCAATCTGGAAAGGAGTCACACTGTTGCTTCAGGAGGATGCACTGGCCACTGGCACACCGGAACTGATTGAGAAGACAAATTGCTGCACAGAAAGAAAGAAAAAATTAAGTACGACTTGCAAGGGAGCATTCAACAATCTTAAGAAAACCAAAAGATGTCAGATGTGTCAAGCCACAATGCATTTTATCTTATAGACAGGTCGGCATCAGAACACCTGCTTTGCTGCAGTAGGTAAAATTCAGTCAGCACTTTTCTCATTCTTCCTTTGTACAGTTACAAGTCCTACTTAGTCAGACTGATATAAAAATTCTGAAACACCACATTTTTGTCCAGTTGGGGCAAAACTGAAAACAAATCAGCAAGGATCTTTTATAATTACTAAATAAGTGTAACTGACATGTTAAAATGTGGTAACTGAAGATATAATCAAAGCTTATATAGTCCATACTACTTTATAACAGAGCTGTATTTGACAGAATGGTATATTTCTCATCTACATCCACAAGCCTCTGTTTCAGTAAAATGAACTTCTTAACTGATTTCAAATTCTATGTGAATTCAAACTATATTAAATTATCAGAAAAGAGACTGTCTTATGAAGGCTTGTAATCAGCGGACCTGGAAGGTTTACTTCAGAGAAAAAAGCAGAATCAAGTGGACAGTTCTGCCAGACTTGCAAGGTAAGGCTGTTCTTCCCCATTTGAAACTAAAAATCATGATCTTGTATCAAAACAGTTATAATCTCAAATAGCTGCTTATGGCAGAGCCAAGAGAAAAGGAAAACGAATCTTACTATCACAATCCACTTCATCAGATTTATCTTGGCAGTCAATTTCTCCATTACACCTCAGATGTGCGTCAATACATTGTCCCTTCTCACACTGGAATTGAGATGCAGAGCATATTGGGCAACTATCCTCATCACTCTGGTCATCACACTCTGGGAATCCATCACACCGCCATGCCATTGGGATACAGTCAATCTCTCCAGTTGCACAGGTAAACTGGTCTGGGGAACAAGTTGGAGGTTCTAGAGAAAGAGAAAACAAAACACATGTGTACATTCATTCAATTTTTGCCCTTTCAACGGAGTGAAAATGTGGTGGAAATATTCTGCAAATGGAAAAAAAGATGCTTATGCCTGGACTGAAGTTCTCCTGTAAAAACGCAAACTGTTTTTGAAGCGCTGTTGTCCTCCTTCAATAAGGAAAAATGTTCAAGAATGAGACTCAAGTAAAATCAAGAGCTTGAAAAACAAATATGCAAAGTAAAATCCATATGTTTAAGGTTTAACATTCCTATGACTTCTAAGTTTCTGAGTTATGATTACTGGGTGTAGCAATACTGAGGTTTACAAACCCAACCAGTGATCTGGCAGCTGTAGACATGGTAAGGATGCCAGACGGACGCATCAAGATAATTCTGGAATTAATCTGTATAGGAGCATACTGTTTAGATAATTCAGCAGACAGATTACTACTTCTGCATCTAGAGCCACATTTAATGTTGCATTATGGTTGCACTTGGCAGGCACGAGTTTGCATTTAAAAACTTGTCAAGTGTGTTCATGAGAATACATGAACAGAACGTTCCCAACCAAAACAGCTATCTACCTATTCTGAAATACTTGCTATGAGCTACTACAACAGCAGGCAAGACAGACTGCAAAGCTGTTGCAAGCTTAGTGAAGGATCAGAATGAAAGCAAATAAACAAGAAGCAGAGCCTGAAAGAGAGGCCCCTTAATTTTAAGATTCATGGGGGAAGACAACAAAGCAGTGCAACTAAGAATCTCTCATTGGCCAGGTTTTTCAACAGAAGTACAGCAAGAAATATAAGGAAATTGTTTTATTTTTCCCCCTGCAGATGTAACCTCCACTACTCTGAAACCACATAGTGTGTTGTGGTCATGGGAAAGAAAACAGTTTATAATGGAAAGGACTGTCCCACGGGAGGTCAGAGCTCAGCCAGAAAAATGAAATCCACAACAAATTGAGTACAGAAAAAAAGCCCAGAGGACCAAAAGAGCCAAATAATTTCACATAGGATATCTCCCAAAAAGAATTTTTTTTTCCCCCATTTTAAATGCCCTCTGCAATAGTAAGGTAACAATTATCAAAATTCCTGAGGCTGTGAAAGGGAATTGTAAAGGGAATATCTACATGGGGAAAGACAACGGCTGCTTTAATTAAAAAGAACTGCAACTGAGGTTTTGAACTGTCTGTCACTAATGAGACAGCACAGTGTTTTATGTTATCATGTTATCTGAAAAGCTGGAGTACTGCAGGAATCATACATACAATTTCAACTGCCAGATCATCATGGGTTATCAACACTGTTACATACATTCATTTATAGCACAAACTGCCACATCATACAATAATGCAAATCTCAGTAGAAGATGCAATTATCGTATGGTCTATCAAGTGTGTTCTGCACACAGTGAAAAGTCAAACATATCCAAAACTTGAAGCAGATAACAGCTGGTGCATTTAAGACAGAATTCTATATCATGTCTAGTATGTATAAATCCACATTCTGAATTCAAATACAACCTCCTGCAGGAAGTTCATATAATTTTGTACCATATGGAAGTCAAGTACTGTGGCAGGCAAGTTTCTTGCAACAGTAACCATTTGATTCTGGTCATTCTGATTTCATTCATTCAGTTGTTTTTGAAAATATCTTCCTTCAGATAGACAGTTCTCAAAACCTAGCAGCATGTCAGAGACCAAATTTGATATTCCACGGGTTCTTAATTGTCTTTTTTTTTTTTTTTCCCAATGTAAACCACTTAGCAGCACTGTTAAACATAACTCACCTCCACATGTTAAGAGATTCTGCAGAAGCACAAGGTGCTCTGGGCACGAACATCTTGGAGTCCCATCCCCTTTGGCAATGCAGATGTGTGAGCACCCACCATTGTCACGGGAGCACGGATGTGCAGCTGGAGAAGCACACAGAAAGAAGAATGATTAGATAGTGTTAAAAAAAAAAAAAAAAGAAAATCTTAGCTACTAGCTAAGACAAACTCACAAAGCCACCCACAAAACAATTCTAGTTGAGTAACTAAGATTTCACTGCAAATTTATAGGAAGATGAACGCAAGGTTTTTCAGTTCTGTGCTCAGAAGTTGATTTACTATTTCACGAGGACTGTATTTCTCCTGGTTGCAGTGATACAGAGACCTTCAAAGAACTTATAAAATGAATTTGGGAGCTCAGGTGAAGAGAAATGAGGAAGCAGATTTGAGAAGGACATGTTTAAGGCAAACCCAGACACCCCACCCGCACTTCTAGGGTTGCCATGCACCAAGAATTGATAATCATTGCTGCAGAATGCCAGCCCACCAAACCCTGAGGAATTTGCCTCTAATCTCGAAGACCTCTTACTAACCAGTCCTACTCCTATGCACCCTCACCACTTCCCTGTTACTCACAAAACTGCAGTGTGAGAGCACACAGTTATTTATATCTTTGTAAAATGGGAAGCTACCTGGCCATGTTCCCAAATCAGTTATTCAAAAGTGCAGAGAACCCAATAATTTGTAATGAAATCAAATTAAGGAAGTCTTAGTTGGATGAGAAACTGGCACAGACAGGTGAAGGCTCTGTCTGAGGATCCCAGCCCAGCTGAGTGCTTTACAGCATCTGCTGGAGTGATCTGTGAGACCAGAGCCTACGTTACTCACAATGCCACTGCACAATGCATTCTTTACTACCAGTAAGGATCAGGAACTTTCACTGGGAAGAAACGGTACAGTTATCACTACTTCTGTGCCAAAGTTGTTTTCCATCTGTTCGGGCTTCTCAGCAGTCTGCTTTCACTTTCAGCAAATTCATCAATTTAACACAGTGTTGGAGACACTACTGTTCGAAGCACAAGCAGAAAAAGTGCCCTCATGTACATTTGTGTGGGCATGCACATGCACGTGTTTATTTTTACTCTCCTGTTGTAACAGAAGTCACCTACGTTGGACAGATTTCAGATGTAAAAATGTGCTTCCTTTCAGTGCAACTCAGAAGAAACATTACCCTTGCCATAATAAAATAAACATTCTTAAAAACATATGGGATATAAAAGTCCTCTCTCTCCCTGTTTTCTTATTAACAGCGATGAGATTTAAAGAAAAATTATTTTCCCATCATTATGTACTTACTACCTTTGAAACGCACTAAAACATAAGAAATGGCACAAAAGAAGAAAAACTGAGTGTTGTGAAAGAAAAAAGAACATCTGGATAAGGATTAGCAAATAGAATCAGCTACAGCTTAAATACACTACCTTCCTTCCAACAGTTTACCCATATAGGCAAGCTTGCACTCACGTACATCCCTCCTATGTAAGATTTCTATGCCCAGCCCTGCATGTACTGGAAGCATTACTCCTCTCCAGACCTCAGACTTACATTCCCTTACTCTACAGTAGTCTTGTACTCCCCCATCTTTCCATAGGACAAGGTGGAATATGGATAGAAGGGAAAAACTTTACTGACTACTGCCCATCAAAGACAAAGTAAGGATATTCCTCTTCCCAGGTTTCTTCACTCTGCATTCAATGTGCCTTGAAGGGGGAGAAATTTGAACTATAGGGGTCATCTACAAGAGTTCATTGCTTCTCTCCCTGGGACAGTAGCACATCCTGAGGTAGCTACCACACTGGCCTATTTCCATGGAGAAGGCAGCATGAAGATGGATGAAGGTTTCTGCTGTCTCCCAGGTACCTACTACAGAATAATCCTGCACAGAATGCTTGAAGTTCAGCACTCAGAGAGCAGGAACTGAGTCAGCAAGCCAGAAAAATAAGGTCCAACATGACTGACCTCTTTCAGAATGGAGCACCTAAAATGGCTCCACTTCTAATCAAGGGAGAAATTCCACATCCACAAAGGAATGTTTTCAGAGCATCCTGCCCATTCTCCTTTCCTTACTGGAGGCATTTACACCATCAGTCACCCAAGTCAAACCACTCATGCTCATGAGAGAAGGCAGGTACTATTCCCTTTTTTTTCTTTATAGAAGTATTTCCAACTCTGTTACTTGGTTGTACTTAAAAAAGTAGCAATCATTAATTGTTTCTAAACAGCTTTGAGAGTTAATTCACTCTCATGCAACCTGGTACAAAGCAGGTAACTAAGTGCTGTGAAATCACATATTCTAGCTGTGCAAAAGGCCTCCTCTGGACAAGAATTATTTCTCCTCCTCTATTATAGTCCAGCCCCTCAAGTTGAAAGCACTCCATAGCCTAAGCTAAAGCCAATATTATTGAAACATGCAGCTTGAGACAGTGACCAAGAGTGAAAAACATCAGGTATTTGAAGAAACTCACAGAATTCCTCCATGTCAAGTTCTTCCACAGCATGAATGCCTGTTAGGTGAGCAATTCGGCCTTGAATTCTAGTCCTTTTGTACCCATTAGTTTTCTCCACTCTCTCAATCATCTGCTGCTGCCGATCAATCCAGTACAGGTGATTTCCCAGCACAGTCAGGCCCATTGGCTGAAGGATGTTGGAGTCCTCCAGAGTCACACGGTTAGCACCTGAGATCAAAGGAAACAATCTCTAACTCGTTTAAAACACAAACAAAACCCAACAAAAATAAACAAAGAAACACTACTTTTTGAAACAAACAGAGGCAATTTCTGAGGTTTCTAAATCCAGTTCAGCAGCAAAGCAGAAAACCTCCATGTTCAGGAAAAATGTAATTAAAATTTAATTTTTGGAATTTAAGTTTTGGACATCTACACAAAATGAGATTGTGGAATCTGAATACATAATAAAAATGCTAACGAGCACTAGATTCAACTAATTTACTGCATAAATTATGTACAGCGCAGCCAAGCATAAGAATGTAACATTTATTTCAATTAGAATACCATTAATTAACTGCCTGATGTTAGTTCACTTCCCTCTGTGCTTCTTTTTAGAGTTTCCTTTTTTTGTACACAGAATAAGAATGCATCACAGAGATTGGATCCTATGTGCTACATTGCAGATTTCTTCATTTTTTCAGCACTGTCAGCTGCTTTGCGTATTCAGTGATTAAATGCTCTGCAAGAACTGTGTGCTGCTACTCCTATGGATGTGAAGTAATGCTTTATTTTACTAATGTGGGAAAAGTGCAACAAATCAATCTCCTTCCACTGTTTTGCAACACAAGGCAGCTGATGTGTGATGCATTAATCATCTCTATTAGAAGCAAGCCACTCCCCTTCAGTTTGTTCTTCAATCTACCATAATATAGTAGACTGCAAACTCTAAAAACAAGAAAAATTGAAGAGTTACACCAACTTTTTAAATCACAGGAAAATAAAAGGAGGGAACAATTTAGAGGTTCTGTGATGGCTAACACCTATTTGAATCTGATCTTGCATGAGTTGCAAGATATCAAAAGTCAAATGACCCTCTTGGAGAGTGGCAATCATTACAGACACATTTATTCCAATCACATCAAAGAAGCCCACTAGTAATTGTTAGCTGTGACTGCCTGCACAGAAATGGCAACTGTAAAAGCTATTGGGGTCAGTATCAAAGAAGGAATAATGTCCTGTACACAGGCACATGCTGCTCCAAATATTTAACTGCATACCACATACCTGACAAGTCACAGCTTTCGATGCGCTTCAGATCTGCATCCACCCAGAAAAGCTTTCCGAGTTTGTTGTCAATCACCAGTGCTACTGGTCGGATCAACCCAGTTGTGAAAAGCACTTCCCTCTCTGTGCCATCAAGGGCTGCACGCTCAATCTTGGGAGCTCTCTCTTGCATGTTGGTGAAATACATGTACCTGAGAACAAAGGCAGGAGCTGCTTGGGTGAGAGCTTCAGAACTCAGGGGAAGTAGCTCACATTTGCACATGGCTTCTGAAACCATAAGTGTGAACAGCTTTCGCAGGGATGACTGGTGGCTGTTGCCCCCCATAGGAAAGATCCAGATCTAATCAGCTGCAGAACCCCAAACATTTGCTAACTGGCATACTGAGACATTTCCATTATCTCTTGAGGGCAAATTCCCCAATACCATAGGTTACACTACTGCACAGCAATTCGTGATGGTGTAAATGAAGAGTGGCAGCAATCAGAACGCAGAGCCAATGGAGAGGAAGGATTTCTGGAACTAAGGAAGGACAAGTTCAGGACAGAGATCACTAATTCAACCCTCCCAGGTAGCCACTGCATTCAACACAGTCTCTCTGCCATTTTGACCTCTTTCAATTTAAAAGCAGATTTATCTTTAAGTTATTTAAAAACTTGGAATAGAAAAGCTAAGTGTTTAAGAGATCAGCAAAGCTAAACTCCTATTTTAACAGAGAAAGCAGGAAAGCTTATATAAACACAAACCATGTCCAAGTGAGTCAGTCCCAATAAGATTAGCATCTTTCCTCTAATCCCCCTCTCCCCACAGCAGCTTTTGAACTGTGAAGAGTACATTGAGCACTGTACAAAAAAACAGTCCCACAGATGTTCCAGATAGAGTCTCTGGGTACTGTTGCATCCACATGGTTACGACATATTGTCATTCAACATCTGTCAAACACATGGTAAGCCATCTATCAGTAAACTGGCAGTTAAGCATCAGCACACACAGCTGACACACATCCCAAATGTGTTCTGTATGAGGTATAAGAAAAGAATCTCACCCCCGCTCTGCATTCACTACAATGGCTCTGGGCTTGTCGTGGTCGCCTCGCAGCACCATCCCTATTGACTCGCCGTTCAGCCTGTGAACGTTGACGGAGTTTGTGGCCTCACAGGTCCAGTATAAGGTATGGCTGTATATATCAATGCTGAGGTCATGTGGCTGCTTCTCTGGGTTCTGGCTTTGGTTTGGAGAGCTCATGACAGTAAAAGGCTGTAAGACAGCATTTACAGAATGATTTCCACTAATTGCTCCGTAAGAACTCTGTACAAAAAGCACCGTTTACCTATGTGAGCATCCAGAAAAGCCTAAGACCACAAGGAAAAACCAAATAAAATAACAGTGACAAAGCACAATAAAAAAATACGTGATCCAAACTGTGGATGTGAGGAAAAAAATCTGAACAAAATCCATAAGACTATGCAAAACCCTCCAGAAAGCAGTTGTGGAACCTCCTATAAGTAGAATTAATTAGAGGAAGATGGAAGAAAACAATAGAGCATATTTGTGCACAGAACAGTCTTGAACAAAACAGCAGAACAAACAGGGCAGTCTTCTGGCAAGATGTGTACTGTTACCCAGCCAGCTGAATATATCTGAATCTCCTCCTAAAGGCTCCTTTCTGTATTACTTGTAGCATAGCAGATAATTTAAGGCCTGCTTTTTCTGATAAATTCAGATCTTCCAATGAAACATAGTTCTGTTTGCTCACACATCAGATGGCCACAGATTCACCTCACAATTGCACTAACATTACTTTGCACATAATGGTACATAACCCTTGTGTCATTATGAAGTTCCTCACAACATCTGACATTACTGTCAAGTTTCAGGAACCATTACCCTCAACTCCCCCACAGCCTGCCTCCAGATCTAACTAACATAGTAGCTGTTCTCTATATATTATATATCCAACATGCACTTCAATACTTTACCTCTATGAAGAACACTAGAGCATACCAAGAGTCCCTAAGGGAAAACTATGCTTCTGCTGTTTCTTTAATATTAGAGACACTTCAATAGTGTGCTTCTAATCCCAGTGCCATTTGGATACTAACACTAATGGCAGGACTCACAACAGCTAAGCACTTCTCAAAGATGAATGCTGCTAGTCAGATGATAAAGGCCAGAGGGAAGTGGTGGCTTCTTCCAGTGTCCTAATAGGGCATTCCCCATGCAAAAATGAAAACAGCAGCAGAAAAAGGTTCTATGGGTCTAGAAAGATGAACACACTATTCCGTACTCAGCTTATGCCAAAATGAGTCACTCAGAACTACTTAAAGTTATATTTCAATAAATTGGATCTAATCCACCAAGTTCTACATAACAATATAATGCTTTCTTTTTCTATTTAAGTCTTTATCCCTGCTTTTGCTTGACAGCACGCCTAGAAATACTGATGAACAGTACTTTTATTGAAATTGAGGTAACATTACCCAGGCATGAATGTAATATGCATCATCTGCAAAAAGCATGAATTAGCAAAATTCAGAAAAAATCATCAGTGAAAATTGGTAAGTCAAAATTTGCAGGGGATCTGTGTCTTCAAAGCTATCTGACCAGCTTAGTAGAAAACAGAGCAGACGAATCTCCATTGCAATTTGCACCTAGCAAATACCAAAGAGAAGACAGACTGCAACAATTAGCACCTAGTGTAATCCAAAAAGGCAAAATAAACACTTCAAAATTCATCCACAACCCAGCTAGCTGCTTATACTAAGAGACCTCCTCCCAATCTAAAAAGAGATGGCCAAAAAGTAAAATCACAAGCTATTTCTTTAAAGGGTACTGTAAAACCACTGATTCCCCAGATGTACAAAGATGCCAGCCCAGTTCCACTGAAATCATATTATGTTGCTTAGATAACTGCTCAGAACAAGGAAAATATATGTTGCCTATTCTCCATTTCCTTTTGTGTTCTTATTCAAACTGTAGCTTTTAAATGATCTGTTATCCTGTCCTGGGAGTTAAGCTATGCTAACATACACAGAACACTGCCCAAAAGAACAGCACACTTCTTTCTACTGTTGTGTGAATAGCTAGCCCAAAACAATTATGCACCCAACCCAGTAGAACAATGAAGCATGTGAATAAGCCTATCCCCATTTGACACAACAGTCAGTTGTATATTCAATCAGGATTTAACTACAGCTTGTATAGAGAGAGTTTTCATTTTGCAAGAGCTTTACAATGATGACAATATAATCACACAACTGGCATGAACAATATTGATATTAAATACTGTTTTTTTCTTGAATATAATTCAGATAGTGAATCTCCCTTACTTCATTGTCCACACTTAGCTAAACATCACAGTTCAAGGCTTGCAGTTTCAGATACATATGGTGTACTACATTCTGTTATACTAGTTCATGTACACATTAAAATTCACAATCCTGAAAGCCCTCTGTAATTTTCACATAAAAACAGAATACATGTGAGTAAGCACTGGCAAGAATAAAGTTTAGACTGATGATTCTTTGGTGCAAGGGACAGGAGGGGAAAGTTATAAAGCACAGAGAGCAACCCATACAAAATTATATACACCATGTAAACTTGCCTGAGTGCCATCATCTTTGGCTCTTTTTATAATATTCTGACGCCCATCTACCCAGTAAATCAATTTATCTAAGGGATCATAATCAATAGCCTTCACATTCCTTAGACCATGCATAGGCAGGATGATATCTGGACTCTGCTGATCATCAGGTATCATTCGGCTGATGGCAGACTTCTGGCTAAACAACAGGAAACTGGTCGGAGCTGAAAACAAGACAAAACAGAATACGTAAGAAAACGTGACTTACATGGTCAAACACACAAAAGACAAGAACACTGAAGATAACGTCTCAAGTAGACAACTATATTCACACTGAAAACTAAATAAACTTTTGAGAAAAGGAAGAAAATAGTCCAAATCCTCTTGAAAGTCAGTTTTGACATGAAACCAAGATCAAGGGACCTTTCACAGAAGACCCAATTTCTAGGAATAAAACAGCAAGATGAAGTTGTCAGATCCATATGGTTGTCATCCATGAGATAACAGCTAAGTCTCCACCAACTAGCAAAAAGGAAACACAAGCTTTCTTTTGCTCTGTGGATTTTTGGAGAATGCATATTCCAAATTAGTCTGACCGTAAACCCTCTCATACCAAGTGTCCTGAAAATCTAAAAATACAGTTTCAAATGGGGCCCTGAGCAACAACAAGCCTCTGAATAAATTAAAAGGGAGATAGCTCATACAGTGTCTCTTTGGCCAGCCAGGCAGCATGAGATACAAAAAAAAAAAAATAAAAAAAAAAAAAGCACTCTACACTGCAGCCAGAGAGAACGGCTCCAGTAGGAGCCTCTGGCAGAAAGCAGCAGGAAAGACTTCAGATCAACCACCAGGCTTTTGGAGTTGGGGATATAGAGTATGTGAGGCTTACTGTACTCCAAATAAGAGATACTGGCAGTGTATGAAGGGGTTTGAGCTGCTTTGGAAATGTTTGGTGCTTAAGTACAATTCTTGTTGACACCCCAACTGCAGAGAGTCAGTGAGCAGCTGCATGGTGCTCAGCTGCCTACCAGATTTAACCCACAACTGTCCTTCCTGGCACCCAGAATGAAGCATGAAGAGTTTGAGATAGTAGCAGACTTGACTGGAGTGTGTTAGACTGTATTTGATTGTTTAGCTTCTAATTGGCAGGCCTTGTTCATTCCCCAGAACTTGCTTGCTTACTGCGTATTGGGAGCACTTGTTAGTGGCTGCCGCTTGCATTTTTGTTGTTTGCTGCACTCCTTATCATCTTACTCTACTGTGCCTGGAAACAGTTTGATAATAGCTATGGACATGAGCCTGGGCTGACAGATGGCCAGGGAACTACTGCTGCTGCATTACTACAGTACTGGGCAGTCTGGAATTACAGCATGAATTCAAGTCAGATGGACTGTGACCTGTGGATAAGTCCACACTGAAGCAGGTATACCCCATAGCATCTGTAACCATAGATAAGGCCATGATGAAGCAAATATGCCTCTGAAACAGCCCAATGGTAAAGCTGTGCAGAACAGGTTAAGGAGTAACAGACTAAGGGAACAATATCTGTGTATGAGAATCAAAGGATGAGAACGGAGGTTGTGGTTAATGAGAGTGCATTGGACAGCACAGGATCTGAGCATGACAGTGTGTGGAATAAGAGGGTGGAGATTGTACTGGTTTCGGCTGAGACAATTTTCTTCATAGCAGCTCGTGTAGTCCTACGTTTTGGATTTTTGACAGTGTTGATAACACACCTACGATTTAGTCAGTGGTGAGCAGTGCTTACACAGCCTCAAGGCCTTTTCTGCTGCTCATGTTGTCCCACCAGCCCATCAGGCAGGGCTGCACAAGAAGTTAGGTAGGGACACTGTAAGGACAGCTGACCCAAACAGACCAAAGGGATGTTCCACCCCATATGATATCATGCTCAGCAATAAAACTGGGGGAAAGGAGGAAGAAGCGAGAAGCATCTGGAGTTACGGAGTCTGTCTTCCCATTTAACTAGAATTTTCTCACACGCACCCTTCTAACTAATCCTATTCCCCTGTGCTGTGGGTTAGTGAGCAAGTATCTGGGTGCTGCTGAGTGCCCACAGGGTTCTCTACTGAACGTGATTACAAGCACCTGGCGGCCAGAAGAAACTTACAACTGCAGTTCCTGCTGTTGGGATCCAAGGTATAGTGAGCAGCACAGCCACATCTAAATCCATTTGGTATGGCAAGGCACAGGTGACCACAATGACCATTATTTTGCACACAATCATTCAAGCCATCCTGACGTGAAGAATGGAAGACCAAAATATCCATCACAAAATCCAGATGGCCCTGAATAAGCGTCCTGTTCTTCCCACTGGTCTTGTCTGCTCTTTCTATACTGTGAAGATTCCAGTCTGTCCAGTAGATGTAGTCACTGTACTGGGTCAATCCAAATGGATGAGGTAGATCATCTGCTATGATTTCTCGTTCTTGTCCTGCAAAAATAACGAAAATCAAGTAAAGCACAATTCCCAGATCACGAAATGGAGAATATGACAGACAATTAAAAAAAGTTTTTTCTTTCTTTTTAAAAACAAAACTCAGTCATTACCATTTCCCCAGTCATTATCATGGGATTCATTATTAAGCAGTACCTGCTGAAGAAGTAACCTACATATTTGCATTTAAAAATCTTGTTCTGATAACCTCTTCACTATGGAGCAATTTGAAACTGTGACAGTGTACTGCCATTTCAACAAATACTGCTCTATTTCTTATGCATAACACTCCAATTAGATTCTGAAAAGCACATTCAAGAATGCTACCAGTTCCAAGGAATCATTCAGATCAACAACAAAATCAATATGCACGACAGCAATAAATACCAAACTTGAGATTCACAGAGAACCAACTAAGAGAAATTATAGCATTTTACTCAAGAAACAAATCATTTGCAGTGTAATTCAAGACACAGAAACCTAAAGTGATTTTGAAACCATTTGTTTGGCAGAAATCCCAACACTGTCACACTTGGTGGCTCAGTTAGCAACATTCAAAACAGATTTAACACCTCTAGAGCATTAGATGGCCTCTGCCAGAGATCCACTACCAAAGTCTTAATATAAATCAGTCCCCTAAACATTTTCAAACACTAACATTTATGAATCTGCCACTTTATATGAATATGAAGCCCTTATCAGCACCGTACCTACCTTACTCACACAAATATCCAATGCTAAGATTCTACTTCTGTTCTCACTATTTTTACTTCTAGCCTAGCAACACTGCCTTAATCGATCAGCCCTCTTGCTGGAAGCCTACCCAAGTCTTTAGAATCTGCTAACTAAAAATACAAGCACACAGCTGTGTTAGCTTCAGCACCCCTCCTCACCGCAAACTAATGCTAACCATAGGTTCTACTCAAAAACTAGTTCAATTTACCACTGATTATTTGAATATTATGTTTCTTCTCGATACCACAATCAGCTTCCAGTCCAAATCTGCCTCCAGCTATTTTGCTTCTCCAAGTAAATACAGAACTTTAGCAAGAGCTCTGACAGATCATACATTGGATGGAAAACACCCCCCACCAAAACTCTGGAAAACGAAGCAACCTTAAAGCAATTTCTAAGTAGCAGCATTCATTCAGCAGAACTGATCCCAAAGCCAAAGTCACCATTAGCCTTGGAATCCAGAACTGCATGGCTCTGCTCTCCTTTGCTTTAACTGTTGTTTTTTTTTTGTTATGGCTTTTTAGAACATTCTCTCTCTAAACATCCATCTCTAACACCATCTTGTGAATAAACGTTTTACTGTAGCTGGAGATCAAGATAATGAGTACATAAGTCAAAACTGATATACAGTAATCACCAGAATAATGTGTGATTCCTTCTAATACTTCTTATTCTTGGACACACACAGTGGTCTACTGAGAAACTATCAAAGTAATTACTTCAACGTATTTAGCTCATCAGCTGAAACTGAAGACCTGCAGCTCAGTATGTATTTGTGTACAGAACCATAAGAAATTGCAAAGGGTAAGTAAAATGCTGATACAGCATTTTTTCATTTCTTTAAGTCAATTCAGTTCAATTCTAGTTTCTAGTTAAGTTCACTCAAAATGTGTGAGAAAGTGTCTTTTCCATTAGCAGTTTTTTTCCAGGTTTCTTCCCTCTCTCTCTCTCAACTAAAGCATAAGATCTCCAGATAAAGGACATCAACCCTTGTAGTAGGTTCCCCATACCAAGAAGGCATGGGCTCATAATAACACCTTAAAAAAAAAAATTCATTCTACTGGTAGCTTTTCATGGAAGATACAAAAGTAAAAATAAATGGGTTGCAGGGAAACAGTGCATGTCATCAACCAGAGTATTGCTACAACAATCCTGTATGAGTTTCCTTAAATACTGTATGTTGGACACATCAGCCATGTTTTTTATTTTGGCATACCAGAGCTGCTGATTTCCATCTAACAAACGCCTCTCCCTGGAAATGAAATGTATGATGTCAAGTCACAAGCTTCTGGATTCCACCTCTGATTTTACCACGGATTCACTGAGTGGTATTTGGAAACTTACCTAACCTCTGTTTTTTCATACACGAACGTGAATCTGCCTTACCTAATACCTTGAAGACTATTTTATAACTATAGGACAGTTAAAGGATACAAAAGCTCTATGTCAGCTGCAAAAAAACCCAAAATTATCTCCTTTCATTCAATCAATTATGTTGATTTCAACAAGAAAGTTTACTAAACCACAGCACATCACATGCAAGTAATAAAAGGAATCCTAATGGAAAATATGAAAATACACAAGATATACATGAACATTTAATATTAATCATGTTATTTCAACTTTTTCTAATTACTACTTACCACCAATTAGTCAGATGCAGGTTTTAGGTCTAATATATGTAATAAACTCAACATCTTACGGGAAAAGATAAGTGATTTAACAGCTCATTACAGAGACAATAATTCAACTAAATTCAACTAAAACACTCTACAACTCTGATCAGTTGCTTTACTGCAGCCACTGCAAATTTCTCTACTTGATGGAGTAATTCTGTGATGCAATCTAATAGCAGATTACCTAGCATATTTGACGATTCGATCATGCTGGTGTCTAGGTCAGTCCAATACAACCGTTGGTCCGCATAATCAATTGTGAGGTCATTGGCACGACCCACTTTATCCACCAAAGTGATGCTGTTTGTTCCATCCATATATGCTCGAACGATCCTAGGTTTACCTCCCCATTCTGTCCAATACATGTATCTGCAATGAGAAGAGGAACAAAATGAACAACTTCATGAGATCGAGTTCAGCTCTGTTTTCCAAATTTGCTTTAAAAAGAAAAAAAATTGGGAATAACCACGCAGTTACGGGCAGTTAACTAGCATATGGTAAAGCACTTATTATTTTTAAAGAAAGAAGGAAAAATATGATTCACAATTCTCAGTTTTTCATTGTGGCCTTCAGGGTTCTGGAGCTTACAAGCCTTTATCTTTTTTTTTTTTTACGACCCCAAAGAAATGGTCTGCCAAATACATTGTCACATACAAGTAGAAAGAAACAAAACTTAGAAAAACAACACTGTCCCTTACCCTTTGGTAGGATCAAGAGCCAAAGACCTTGGGTTATCCAAGTCCTTCCACACAAGGACCTGCCTATACTGTCCATCCAGGCGGGCTACCTCAATTCGATTGGTTCCAGTATCTGCCCAGTAGAGGTTCTTTCCCATCCAGTCTACAGCCATTCCCTCAGGGTAATCTAGCCCAAATTCAATCACGTGTTCAACAGAGCTCCCATTCATGAAAGCTCGACTTATGGTCTGGAAAACAATTGTGTGAAAGTATTTAAGGATTTATGGATACTTCACTAAGATAAAAAGTAATTTAAATTAGAAATAATGAAATTTAGCTTAGAAAGAGATTAGTTAAAAAAAACCAACAATCTATTGGTGTTACTTTTTAAAAATAAATGTCTGTTGTCAAAAAAACATATAGCAGTTCACAAGATAAAGAGACTTGAATTTTCAGAAAGGTTAGGTTGTTTATGAGCAATCCAAAATGCTTTAGAAGACATGACTTTCAGAAAGCGCAATATATCTGCAGATTCTGCCTTGACCCTTCTTCCTCTCTCCTGTTTGTACATAAGAATACACATACACTGAAGTATTTAATTCTCTTAATGTTTTAAGTTGAAGGACTAAGTCACAAATTCAGCAAATCAGAATTCATTTTTTTTTCCACTATCAGTCACCTTCGGCTAATTTGCTGATTCTATCTGTATTCTAGTTCTATACAGTCAGCAAAATAAGTCATAGGGCAAGGACTGTATATGCATAAATAAGCCGCTCCCAACAGTGAATAACGAAACAACCTGCAGACATACCACTGGGAACACCCAGGATCAGTGCACGATTATCTACTTTTGGTGGCATCTTAGCACTAAGAGATGTTTTATATTTTTAAAGGCAGATGTACATGTAAAAATACAAATTTTGACAACCCACATCTCAGGAAAAGTATAATAGTCTTTCAAAAATGAGTCCTCACGTAACCAGAGGCTATAGGAGATTAGGGATGTAGTGATCATCAAAGAGAACAATATGAAAACAGGAGGAGGTCTCTTAAGTTACACTACCTGCAGCCAAGATGCAGAAGGTGGAGGGACGGGGGAAAACTCAGATATGCTGAAATGTATGTGATATGTATGTGAAAAGTACAGTATGATGGATAAGTTAGGAGGCTGCATACAAGTAAAATGGTGCCCAGTTCTACACAGAATCAGACTAGGATCTGAACGACACAGCTGAAGTAATGAATTTTCCACTACCAATGGTTAAGACAACCACAGCCTCAGCTTTCCACATGCTTGCCTGAGATTTATTTAGTTATCATGTCTGTAGCACACTAATTTGTTATACTGGCACTGTTCCTAGAGTAAAGGTATCCACATCAGTACTTCTAGTGCTGAAGCACAACCCCTGTTAGTCTTAGAGAGGTATGTAAACTAGCCCTACAAGTGAACTTTTTCCTATTATGGTTTAGGTACCTTGGCAAGACAACTACAACTGTTCTTGGAAAACTTATTAAGAAGCTAAACAGAGAAATTCAGTTCCAGTGAAGCGAATGCGCTGTTTTCTACCATAACTTAACTCACTTCAAAAAGTAACACTGACAAAGAACACAATGTTCACTTCAGCATTCACCTGGATATGAACCAAACACATGAGAAGGGAATTTCAAACTGCTAGAGAACACAAGGACTTAGGAGGAGATGGGGGCGAGCAGGGGGCAATTAACATGACATGGAGAAAACCAGACAAGTTCCCTGGCCTCTCCTGTGCCAAGCTAGAGCCTTGGGCTAACAGCAACCAATACAAAGTTCACTTGCCAGAAGCGAATATTAAGTAGGGTTGTCTTCCAAATCAAAATTGGAAGGTGGTAGAAAGCTTGGGGAGTTGCCAAGCTTACTACGTGACATGAAAACAGCATTTCTACAATAAACATATGGATGCAGCACAAGTAGCATCCGAGACTTCAGCATTCAGCATGAGCAGACATCACTTTGGATTTTTATTTGAAATGGGAACAGGCCTGTCACCCAACTCTGCATTCAACAATGCAACTGTCTTCATCTCCAAGAGTCTCCTTGGATGCAATTCAATGACAACACAAGCAACTGCAGGATAGATCATGTAACAGAGACCTTTGTTAGATCAAAGAAACTGCCCTGTGGCTTTATATTCAGGGAATTCGCATGTCAGTAATACCTTCAAACTAACATCAGTCCAATAGATTCTGTTATCAGAAACATCAAAATCCAGAGCAGATGCCTCCTTGACTCCAGTAAGAGGAATAGCAACATCATTATTATTGGTTTCAAGGGAAATCCTATGAATTGCTGCTCTGCTTGTGAAAACTAAGAAGGCTTCAGGAATGATGCAAGTCTTCATGTCACTCAACAGCTCAAGGCCAATGGGACAGGCACACCTGGTCTCCTGGGGTGTAAAGAAACACAGATGGCTGCAACCTCCGTTGTTCTCTGCACATGGATTAGTCCCTTAAAAACAAAACAAAACAGATATTGGTGTATTATGGAGATAGGGAGAAGAGGAAGGATAAGGCTGAGTGAAAATGTAGTGCAACTATAACTTTTCAAAATAAGTTAACCCTATGGATTGTTAACAGAGTCATTCAAAATCAGTTTCTTTTCCTCTAGCTAGACATTAGAAGGCTGGTTGCATCCCCTTCCTATATACGAAGAACTGCCACAAACATATTTTATAGCTTCCCCAAAGACTAGTTCCTTTACTGAATGCAAGCAATTTTCCACATTCAGCCTGCCTATTTTTTGTCCAGTACTCCATCTTCATATCTCTTTGAAATCATCAATTTTAAAAATGTGTCTGAGTTCAGTGATATAAAATAATGAGGAAAGACTGGATAACTGCAGCTCTTTCCCAGCTGTTCAATCACTACAGTCTCTCATTTATTTTGTTCAAGTCAATGACCGTGACCAGGCAGTGCAAGAATAAGGAGGGAAAAGTAAGGATCAAAAGACAAACGAGTGTCTTTCTCTATCATTTGGAATCAGGGATTTAGCTAAAGACATGCTATCACAAAAAAATCCCCAAGATCAGTCTCATCCAGCTTTCAGTTTTCCTTTTTTTAACACATACAATCTGATGTCAATTTATACCAAGTTACAATCTGAAGACTAGACAGTCCTTCAAGTAAAATGAAGAGTTCCACATGATTGTGAGAGTTTTCTACAGTTCAATCTACTTGCTAAGTACTCTGGGCAAGATTTAATTGCTCAGATGTTAAAAATTAGAGTGCCATTTGCATTCAGGTATCTCTGTTAATAGCCAGTAACTCTGCCTGTATCATTCCATGTAGTAAAACGTATTCTGCCACTCCCAGATCAATTGGGAGTGACCTTCTCCCAGTGGAAGATCACTGGGACTTGGTACTGGAAAGTGGTGCAATCCTGTGAGCACCAGAACTTCTAGAGATGAGAGCCAGGAATAAAATTCTTCTCACAAAAATTCAGAGTGTGGTGGAAGCTGCAGAGGACTCAGGTTGAATATCATTATAAAATTGGAAGCCCAAATTTCTTTTGCAACACTCTATTTTCCCAACTTTACAAAAACAAGTGCTTTCCTTTAAAATGTTTCAAACACTAAAGACCATAGTTATTCCCAACTTTACAAAAACAAGTGCTTTCCTTTAAAATGTTTCAAACACTAAAGACCATAGTTATTCTCACTACAAGTGATGAACAGCTGCTTAATAGCTGCTAGTGAAAGCAAGAGCTTCTAGAAACTACTTTAGACTCACTCTGTGATTGACCACACTTACCAAAAACTTTGGTAACACTTGTTGCTTTAAGGCCCATCAAGTCTGGGAGCTGATCAATAATAATGTCTCTGCTAGCCCTTATCTTGTGAACTCTTTCAATGCTTCGCCTCTGCCAGTCAGTCCAGTAGATGTAATCACCCAGCAGTGTGAACCCAAATATATGTGGAAGTTTATCTTCTAACAGGGTTTTCCTCATCGTTCCATCAACATTTATGACCTGTGAGACACATGAAAAAACAGGAAAAAATAAGTTCTACTTGAAAATTTTCACTGCAGACAGCATCAAGCTCTGTACTGTATTTAATTCAAAAGACTATAATTTTCTTTTCCAACATGACTCAAGCTTCCATCTTTCATTAGAGATGCTTCATGGGTGCACAACTGCTGTGCTTTAATCTAGGCTATGCATTACTTGTGGTTGAGGTAGAAATTTAAACAATCTTTACTGTCGTTCGATCATTATTTCTTTATTCAGAATCAAAATATTAAACTTGTACTTTGTAGATAATTAAGTTGGCTTCCCTGTACAACACTCCTGTTTTCCTTTAAAGATCTGAAGACAAACGCAGTCATTTCAACTCTGTATTTCCCTGACTTGTAAGCAGTTAAGTGTCTAAGCCATATTTATTTCGTATTAAAAACATAAACTATCCAAAGGCAATGTAATATTAAACCACCAGATGTCTAACAACCTAGTGGTCAGTCAGATCAACAGTTTCACCACAATTTCACATACAGTAAGTTGTAAGGCTCTGCCCATACCTGGTAGACAACAGGTGCACACAATTTATTTTTTGTATGTGATTAGTGATAATCGCATCTTATTAAATTAGCATTTGACTTTTAACATGCAAACACACCTGTGTGTGGTAGGTATCCAAATAACAACAACAACAGAAATCTTCAGATTGAAACTTGATGTTGCCATTACAGTTGCTCTTGCAATACTGCACAAAATTGTGAAAGTAACGTGCATCTCTTTGATTATACAGTTTTCTGGGGAACAACATTTCCTCATCAAAGAAATACAAATAATACATTGTCACCGATTCTACTAGATGAATTCTAGCTGAAAAAAAATCATAAATGCTAGCACACATGGAACAACCTAGATCTCCCAAACACCACCAGTGCAACAGCAGAGGTAAGCAGTCAGTTGCTGCACGCTGCGTTTAGCCATGCTGCACACAAAAGAAATCAATGCTGTAACAGTTCATTTTGCATTGCTATTGCACAGACGTCTTCAGGATTCCTTTCAGACAGAAAGCCTCCTGCTGGAGACACTTAAAAATAACACTGACATTCTTTAAAACTAAGTTTCGGAGGAGTTTCATGTTATTCAATCCATCACATGATGAAGCAGCAGAGACTTAAGATTAATGCCTTTTTATTTTATGAAGCTAAATAAAGTACATTAAAAAAAAAAAAGGTTACGTCTGCGGTTAAAAGCCAAATGGTTCTGCAATTATCTCATTACATCATGTCCAGGCAAACCCCAAATGCTCACTTATTTAGAACAGTATCAATCCCACAGGCTGTACTGCAGGTTCAAAAGTTCATCACGCATACTCAGGTGCCAGAGCCAAACTGGTGCATCGTCCTGTAAATAAGACATTTCCTTTACAAAGACAACAGTGCATCAGCAGGACGATGATCAAACCAGTGCATTTCTGACTACTTTTACAGATATGGGCAGTACAAGTATAGTTCAAGCATCAGAGCTGTTGACCAAATACACCAGGCCCCAACTGGATCCGAGGATACAGAAACATACTTTTTTTCCTATTGATTAATATCTATGCACACCTGTGCATGTTGTCAACTACCACGCTCACTACTGAAAGTACCAAATGAAAGCCTGTTAGGCAATCTAGTCCTCCTGATCAAGCACAGAAGAAAGGGAGATCAAAAAGGTGGAATCAGACAGCAAACAAATGTTAAATGGCTCATACTTTGGTTAAGGAGATGGAATAAGCATTTCCTCTCTGTCTGAACACTCCCACTCTCCAACATGTCAGCAGAATGCCTGTGGATCCCAGCAGGCTCCCCTTGGATGCAAAGCGCAGCTCTGACCCGGAGGGGTGGTGTGATGGCCTGCAACCCTGCCTGGTGGTAGCCAATCCATGGCAGTGGGCACGAAGCACTAACTAACTGAGTGCTAACTAGGCTGTCTGGCAGCAGCAGACAGGTCTAACAGTTCACCAAAGGTACAGGGATGCTGCCTTTTGGATTTTGTTGTCATCCATCTTTCCAGAGATTCATCTCCATTCCAGAGCATTAACTTAAACCACGAGGACACAGCAAAAAAAACCCTATAAACAGTCCTCACAGTAAGTCCAGAAGCACAACTCATTCTGCTAAAACTGCACAGCTCATAAAATATCCTCTTATCTCATCATTTATGGCGTGCAGGCTGCTGACTGCAGCCAAAGGGAAGCTGTTATGGAGCATTTTTCCCATTATTATGCACAACTTCTCTTCAACACACCTTAAAGGCAGAGGAGAGCGGGTATTTTTTTACTACTTAGAGTTTTCATCCTCTTTCAATAACTGATCAATGGCTTTTTTACTTAGGTCAAAGGACAAATGCAACGCTAAAATCTGCTCTGCTTTCCACACAAAACACTGAACGGTCCCCTTGAACAGACACAGCCCCTGATTAGTCCTCAGACTTCAATAACAAATCTCTTAACGAGGCATCACAAAGCTCAGCCAAAACATGCGGTGGGCAAAACAAAATCAACATCAAATGCCTTAATGAAGTGAATTACACACAAAAGCACAGTGAGGTGATAAGGTGTGCTTTTTGTTTTTTTTTTTTCTGATGCTGCTGCAGTGTATGCAAAGCGACTTAACATTTCCAAATATAACACTCCAAAGCTCTTGGCTCTTTGAAGAAGATTAAAGTAAACAATGCAATTAAATTCTACACATCAGTGTGATTCATGTAGTCAAGTTATATTTCAGGTGCATCTGTGAAAAACAACAACCATTCAGCATACACGTCTTTTGACAGAACAACAAAGGGAGCTCAGACACCTTGCTCCTATATTTAATTCATTAAGAAAAGAAAATTTATTCAATTGCTACAAAGCTGAGACAAATGGAAACCAGCTCTCGGTATGAGCCAAATCTCTGAGCAGTAAGAGGACACAGAAGGTTGGCACTGATAAAATGTTATGACTGCCATATTACCAGGTTGGTAGTCTTGCAGGTCTATGACTTGTTTCTCAGTGTGTGATTTTAGCCTGTGGGAAAGGCAAGTTCCTTGAATGGCTTCTGACAATTCTCTCCAGAAGACCCTAAGAAGGCATCTCAAGGGAATTATGCCCAGTCTTTCTGGCTAGAGAAAGAACCTGAAGGAAAAACCATGTGGGTGGCAGCCAACATGAGAGAAAAAGACAAAGAAAAAGGGAGAGAAATGGAAAACTCCAGAGGGTCAAAAAGCCTGCCTCCAAAAGAGAAGAGTAAAGCAGCTGTGAGCAGTCTGTACCAGTCTATATTCAGCTGGGTTTAAGCCGTTCGTTAATATTTCCAACAGCTGAAGTAGAACCACCTTTCATCAATGCTTCAGGATGAAAGAGGACTCCTCCTTTTTGATTCTGAACAGGTTTAATGCCAGGCATGTGTTGGCAGACACTGGCAAGCAGAGAAGTAAAGCAGACAGTCCCAGCACCTACATATCAAAACAGGTCGGAGGACAGTTGGACAACAGATCTATGTGGCCATTTACACACAGACGGTTTGCAGATTTGCAGACTCCACAATTTGCAAATGCAGGTAGTGACACAGTATCATCCTTTACATACAGACTCTTTCCTCTAAGACACTTTTCATCGTTTTTCACTACAGATCACAGTTTAGCTTGCTGAGGAAGTAGCAGAAGATACTTCTCAGTGGCTACACGTGGGTCAGATTTTCACTCATAACACAAAAGCCACTTTGAGATGTTCAATAAAGAGGATTACAAGAAGGATTATCAAATCTCACGACTCTTTTTGACAGCCTTCCCTCACAAGCACCTTTACAAAACTAAAGCACAGCAGTAATGGCCAACTGTCTTCAAAGAGCCACACTGGCACACAGAAGAACAAAAAGTAGTTGGAGTGCAATAATAATAAAAGCCTGTCTTAGGAGAGCTCTCAAAAGCACCTCCGATCCTGAGATCCATCCATTAGTAAGGATTTAAAACTATAAGGCAGAGACTATATTGGCAGTATCATACAAAGATATGACTATCAACAAACTTCATTTCATTCTGACTACTCCATGTCATCTCATTCGGAATGGATTCACCCCATCAATCTGTTCTGTCTCATACAAATAAAATCTACATTGTCAAATGAATATAAAATGTTAATTGGCGACCTGTTAAAAAACAAAACCAAAAATCCCAGAAACTACCTACAAAGAAGCCAAATACAACACAGTCTAACTTCACATTACAAAAAATACAGTCTTAAGTAATTTTTAGTGATCTCCCATTTTCATTGGGAATTATATAACAAAATGTATTCCTATACTTGTGCTGAAAGTATCAGCATGCAAAGTGGCTGTTTATTTGCAGGGTAGATCTGTTTGTACTGTTCATGTTAAACTACCCCCATACCTGATGATCATCAATGACTTGTCTCTTAGGACAATACTTTTCCAGTTCCACACAGAGTACTGCATTTTCAGACAGACTTTACAAAACACAAACACACATAATAAGCTCCTACAGACCCCGATGAATAGATAAATTTCTTCTTGCTGGGAAGGTGGTGTTAGCGTGATTGTAATCTTGAACCTGTTTACATTTTACGAATCTGATCTAGGAACAACTAATGTTCTCCATACGAAGCACTGTTACATCAGCCTGACACTTCCAGAACTCAGTTCTGCTTACAGGATATCAAACAGTTAAAGGTGCAGCTGGTAAATTCTGCAACTGTTCTGTGCTAAGCAGGAACATTATATGGCATGCCTAGCTCCTTAAAAGGGGAAAAAGTTAAATGCAAACATACTCAAAACTAATTTATGGCAACTGGTGGCTAGAACCTAAAGCACAGATGTTTTACTGAATCGGTATTTCAATTTGATTTTTAGGTGCAAGTTGCTCATTTAATACACTTCAGGGAAATCTTACCTTCTGTAAACAAACTTTTTTAATTTTGAAACACTGAACGCCGCTGTAAGTTGTTTAAAGGGGCCTCCAGCAACTCTGTAGCTAACATC